AGCATTAACCATTTTTACACACACAAACTACGTAGCTGTGTTAAAGAAATAACATTTGATTTTACTCAGAGGAAATATGCTAACCATCCTCGATTTCATCTTCACCAACGAAAAGATAGTGACTTAACTGATCAGTGTCACTGTCTCCCTTAGTCATAGTGACCAAGCAGCACTTTTATCTGACTTTTGTGCTAAGCGTACCGTCTTGACTGTGTTTTGTCTAGATTCAGAACAATCCAGAGTTATGATCAGTTGAAATATTTAGTGCGTAATGTAGGTTCGGGATTTTACCAATTGTCGGAGGAAATTACCAGTGAGTCGTCGTGCATAAAACCAAAAACACGCAGGGAGTGTTTTTGATAGAGAAGATCAACGTGTACCGTAAAAGCGGAATCGTGTTTGCTTTTGCTTATGCTGGCGGACAATAAATAGAACATGGAAAGCTATCTGCGCAAACAGTTTACCCGGTTTATGAAGCTGGAGAGTAAGCATAGCAGGAGAACATAGTTGCACGCTTACTGTCTATTAAAACTTGCTTTATAATTCCGTTAAACCGGTTTGACGTGCTCACTAAAAGGAAATTGAGGTTGAGAAGCTCACATAAACCCCTTCAGATACCTTCAACGTCCTTGTAGTCACTTCATCTTGTCTTAGTTGGATACATGTCTTCTTGTGAGTTGTTTATCCCTTTTCTGTCAAACATTTAATTCATATTTATCACTGTGCATGGAGAATGTTCGAATTAGAGTGCTTATACCTCAGGAAAAAACTGTACGCACCTGTTTCAAGGCTTTTTCGCCGTTGATTTGATAGCACAAGAATGCCAACTATCTGGAACGATGGGTCAATATTTTGTATCTACTCAGAGAGCATTTTAGCTGGTCGTATAAGCAAGCGGCCCACAAAGCTTTTTCAATTCTTAAGCAAGATTAGGAAGCCCATAATAGAGGACCACTGAATGGTGCATGTGGTACAGTATCCAACATGTTATTCAAATGAAACATAGCCACTTCCTGAACCTATCACATGCGAGGGATAACCGAGCGGTGGGAATAAATCACGGATCAGACGTAGTTGCCACCTGTTCAAGTTCATGCAAGACGTTTGACAGAGTTTGTCATTGCATTATCCTGCGGAAGCTGGCATCCTGTGACATGAGAGGTTGGCTTCTTCAGCTTCTTGACTATTTCCTTCCGAGACGGCTGGTTCGTGTTCATGTAAGTAGAACACATTCTGAGCCAATTACTGTGTCATCCGATGTGCCATATAGAACAGTACCACGACGTTGCCTTCTGATTTTTACAATTGATCTGCTCCCACGGATTCAATCGAACATTCTGCAGTTTGCAGACGACAAAAATATATCGTGATCACTATCACGCTAGAAGACTTAGACCCTATGAAATCCGATCTATAGTGATATTTAAATGTATTGTCACAAACTCCTTACACTCAACAAACTTATTTGCCATGTATTACTCATCAAACATGCCATTCTCCACATTCTTGGTGATACGTTATTGAATAAGAATACGAAGAGGAAAAATTTGGAGTTGTTTTCCAGAATGACCTGCAACAGTCAAAGTACTATTTTTATGCTTCCATAACTCTGAAATAACAGTCAGAATTACCGCATCACGGCTTTATTTTATTTACAGAGACTCTATCGGCCTAATTTCTACTACACCTCGGATAGGCCGTACGAACTTGGGGTTTGTGGTAAAAAACAGACAAGTGGCTGTTAGAACGACCACAAGTGGGAGTAATAAAGTTGTTTCAAGTTTTGTGCATCTACAAATAAGAGCACTGCCTTATGGCTCTCAGTCTGTGTTTCGTACAGTATATCCGTCGACCTGGTAATCAAGTTTTTGCGTGCCAAGTATTGACGCAGCCAGATCATTCATTCGGATCCTCGATAACCGTTGCAAGTACTACCGGAATCCATCGCGTAAATAATCCCTATTTTATATTAGCCTATTCTTACTTCCTAGGTGTCTTTTAAAGCAGGATCTGTATCGCCAGTGACCCGAAAACTTTTCAACGAGCGTTTATTATGAACACGCTTATAAGGACTTTTACAAACTCGTTTCCCGATTATCGACTAATTTTATACTTGCCGATCTGTGGGATTTCCAGAAGCACACAAACTTCATCTTCTAATGACCTATAGGGCTTGTGGCGCTTCACATTTGCGTCAATCACTGCGAGCTCTTTGCTTATGGAGCATGGCCACTTATGAAACGGGAGTGATCAAGAGCGCTTGTGAAAAATATGCCTTAGTTTGATAAGCTGCGCATTACCTATGCTTGAGATATTCATGATGTAGAACCGGATAGTGTATTTTGAATACGCTGAAATTCGGAATCAAAGGTGCCACAATGCGAAATATATACTGTATAAAATTACCGCAGTAACTCTGGCTACCAAAAGGTGTGTGTCGATTTATCTCAAAGGAGTTCTGTAAGTAGCGTTCGCCTGGGCTATAAATGTCAACAAACCAATGCAACGGCGTTTTTGGAGGAAAGGTTACTCCTACTGGGGCCAATGGGAGGAACAGTGGGGACGCCTGAGCAGTCAGATAAACGAAAAAAACTTGAACCGATGCCGACTTTGAGCAAAATTAGAAGCATGGCGAGAAGAGAAAGTAAACTGTAGTTATTGTACTGCTAGTTTGGCAGACATGAGTTTCAAGTGACTGATAGAGTAGCGCAAAAGTAGCTGTCAAGGTTACAGCTCATACATGCTTGGCTGAACTGGAAGAGGACAAGTGACAGTCAAGCGTCAGATGTGAAATAACTCTCTACCAACAAAAGCCGCGGAGTCCCAGTGAAGTTCCGACAATATGACACAGAAGAGTTGGAAACATGCAGAGATTCAAAGAAAAATTCGGCCATGATCGCCATCCAGACGTCCGCGTCGCCTGCAAAAACAGAATGAACATCATAAAAGAAACTGTAAAAAGTGCAGTTCTTGAGGCCTATGAAAACTATGATAGAGAGAGTGTATGTGGGTGTTTGTCAGAGACGAAAAAATGAGCTAAACCTAATACTGATGGACCAAAAAATGACGTACTCGTAACGGACGATCGACCAGACCGGAAAAACACTTGGAAATTGATGCATATCACAACCAAAGTGGCAAAGTGGACAAACCCATAGGGAAGGTCCGTCGTCTCTGATGCCCGAAACACTTCGCGTGGTTGCGAAGAAGCTGTTGACTGTGCATATCTTTACATACAGCTCTCCTGAAGGGAGGTCATGCATCGTTAATCTGATTATTTTACTCCAGGCAGGATGCAAAGTCTGAGAAGGACAGGGTCAGGTCCTTGTTGAAATGCGTGCGTCGTGAAAAAAGCACTGAGGGGGAAGACATCTGAAAACCACTGCACTACTGCTTGGATGGTTTGATTCGATAGCAAGTAGGGCAAGTCATAATCAACAGCGCGCTCGCCGAACGGTGACATGAGAGAGACTGTGCACCATGAGATGCTGTTTTTTGTTCACCAATACATACCGTCCACGCTGACGCATTGTATGAGACTTTGAGCTCCTCGTGTTTGATATTTGCTGATGACTCCACAGTGTGGATGAGAAGAAACGGACCAGAGGTAAGAAGACGAAGAGACATAGACAAACACACCTGAACAAACTGAAGAAATAATGTACTTTATGCAGGCTATCTATCAATGCTTCTACCTCGCGATTGTTGGTTTTTGGCTCCGCAAAGCTACATGACGAAGCAAGTGACTGTTTTCGGGCAATTTCGTGCCACTATGATGCATTTCGATGCCGACAGAAGGATTATTTTGGCACACCTTTTAGACACACACCACAAGGAAATCCGCCCGGTCGTGTGACGTAATTCGCACATTATTCTCACGTCTCAGCCAATCAATTTCAACCACTAACATTTAGCGCAAGTTGTTAATGTGTAAATATGGTTCTGAAAGACAGATATACCAAAAACGGGTAACATCCTCTGGGAGAAAAGAATACACTTTTCGAGTTAGAACGTCAAGTGAGAATAAAAGAAGAAAACCAGGTTATAAATTGTGATAAGGATTCATTGATGAGTACCTTCAACTTGACTTTAAAAGTTATTACATCAAGAGGGTCCACTAGCTTTTGGAGTTCTGACCTTTTTTTACCTCATGCTGTGTCTCTGTGTTTCAAATACATACCCATTCAGGTTTTTTTCCGGTAAATGCATGAAAGAAACTGTATTTGCCAGCTTATCTAATGAGACACGCAGTGCTCGATTACTCTATCTCCGTTGGGAGCATCTCGTACTACTTCTGACAGAGGCTGCTGGTTTACTTTTGACTGGGATGGTGCTGAGGACAAATCTGAAAAAAACAGACTGTAAAACGGTGGAAAAATCAATCACCTTTATTCCTTAGTAAACGATCCCTCAGGAGCGATCGGCCCTCTGGAGAAGATAAGAACCTCAGACCTAATTGTGTATCGAAATAGCCTTACAACGGTCACTGGCGCGCCTGTAAAGAAAGCTTATTCTACGGGGTACCCGATAAAAAAATATTATTACCTCATACCACACCACGAAATCAATGGTGCCTCTCCAAACTTAGACAAAGCTTCTTAACTGCTGATGCATCAATCAGCTGGATTCGATTTATTGTCAGAAATGTAGAACTTCTGATCTTTCGGTATTGCGTCGGATAATATCAGATAGATGACAACAGCACTTTAAGCTTTTTTTAGAAGAAAATACTGCCGCTTTCAGCCTTCTGAATGAACTATTTACGGTTGGTTCAGTCATATGCTGGGTTTTCACTTTTGCTAAGAAGTGGTTTGGGTCATGGTGTTCTTCTGAAATCATACAGATTATTCATCCTCATTCTGGGCGTTCATGTACATTTCTTTTTTAGATGATATGTATGCTTTGTGACATAAAGTCATGAAAATCTCAGAATACTGGATTAGATGCCGGGTGCAAATCGAAAAAAGGAGTCTGGGTAAGTATGACTTAGTCTACTAGAGATGGCAAACAAAACAGATGACGTCAAGACGCTGATCCTCCAAGGGAATTGTGAGGAAAAGATTACACACCTGGGCACTGCGTTGGCACACTTTACCCAACTAAAAATTTTGGATCTGTCGAGAAACCTGCTCCAAAATATTGAGGTACGATTTGTTAACCACTTCTGATTACAACCCTTCAGGGCATTGAGCATATCAAATCGCTGGAAGTCTTGAATTTGTACTACAACTCTATTGAAGACTTGTTCGAAATCAAACGACTGCAATGTAACCCTAACCTGAGGGATTTAGACTTACGCTTGAATCCGATTTCCCGGTTAACGGCGGATTATCGTCGCTACCTTAGTTATCTTCTACCGCAATTGAAAACATTGGGTAGGTTATTTATTTTAGTACAAGATCATTAAAGTTGACAACTGACCACTGGCATTCCGATGTAGGGTATTAGTGTACAACACGCAATCTTAGAAAAAACAAAACGTAGTTCTTCATAATTCTTAGTTTTTCCAGATCGTCAAAGCAGCATTCGATCTGGATAGGAAACGTGTACCTATGAAGCGCTTCGAAGAAGAAAAACGTTTGTTATAATCATTTTTCGTAGCTTTAATTACTCACAGTAAACAAATCTTTTCATAGTCGAGCGGAAATGTATTGCATTCCCAATAACGCTGTGGAGATTTCGTCCTGTGATTGAATCGAATCTACGCTGAAAAGCCGAGAAAAACCTTACAGCTGTTTTATCCTTATTGGGAATCACCAGCATCTCACGAAATTCCGGTGTGTCGAATCCGCAACCTCCTGGCCAGTAGTTTAACACTTAACCATTCAATCATGAGCGGCTGTTCAGAAGTGTGAATAACTCGAACCTACACAGGATTTAGGGCCGCTGATCCTTCACTCACGGGATCCACATCACGTGGTCACACTGGTTCCTCGAGCGACAACTTCTCAGATGGAAGTTTCACTTGTCGGGTGAAGTTTATTCCCCCACTGAGGTACTTATAGGTTGTCGGTAGTGTGACGAGCTTCGTTATTTTGTAGAGATTTCGTCCTGTAGGTACAACCTGTAAGGAGCCAGTCAACACGTGTGGTCACGTGTTGTGGATCCCATGTTTGGAGGATGAGCGGGGCTATATCCTGTCTAAGGGCGAGGTAATCATACTACTGAACAGCCGCTCGTGACCGAACGGTTGTGTTAAACTACCGACCAGGAGGTTGCGGGTTCGAGATTCCGGAGTTTCGTGAGATGTGCACTGCTGGTGATTCCCAATAAGGATGAAACAGCTGTACAGCAGTTCTCGGCTTTCCAAAATAGATTGGCTTCACTTATAGCACGAAATCTCCACAAAAAACCAAATCCCTTCACACTACCAACAAAATAACACTCACTCGTATGTGTGGATGACGATTTCACCTGTAACCTTGACCTCATTCGCTTGCTAGTTAAACGGAGTTCTACTCGTCCAAAACAAGTGAACGTTTGACAAGTGATGGCTTTTTGGTGCTATAGAAGAGATGATAAAACAGCCTTTTTTCATTCTCGGTACTCTTGTTTGAACAGTCTTTCTCATGTTCAAGACAGTTATAACATTTAACCCGAGCTTCGATCAAGTTAGAGTAGGCTCGTCTGTTCTGGAGTAATAATTCTATTACGTTTAGACTCTACTGGCGCAAAGGTGCGACAATGTTGTCTCGTGTGTCGAATGTCCTGAGTATAACTCCCGGTATGATCAAGCTAAGTACTGCTTACGACATCTAAAAGTAGCGAAACTCGAGTCCAGTGCTTCACCGCCCTTGGTGTGGACTCATCAGAAAATATGTACTCGGGTGGAAGAAGGGCTGCCCTAAATAAAATGACGTGAATGCTAATTCTACAAGTCGCCCATTCATTCACAGCTAATGACAGCATTGTTTTTGGTGGTGGATTATCTACGGAATTGCCTGTTCTCCCACGAAATGAGCAAGGTTTTGTGCCTTACTAAGAAGGATTGCAATTTTCTGACCGTCATCAAGAAAGACATGAACTGCGTGAAAGGCATCAAGAAACATGAACTCACGGATCAAAGTCCAAAATAATCAGGAAGATGGTCTTTGTACAAAAATATCTTAAATGCAAAACCCCGAAATGTAGGAAAACATCAAACAGTGGGTAGTTTATCGCCAATCAAAATTTGAGTAATTTCTCAAAGCTTGAAGTTTTTTTCTGGAAATTGAAACAGAAACAATGTCTTCTTGTCGTCAGACCACAGCTTCAATTTTTCGAGCCGAACCACCAAATGTGCAGTACCTCAAAGTCAGAGACAGTTTAGTTACTTACGACTGGTGTTTCTTACAAAAACAGAGTAATGCACAATCGGAAGCAATAAAATAATGAGGTTGGGTCAGTTGATTCCGAGCCGATTTTCGGTATACAACAGACTTTCTTTCCCCTCGTTAATTTCCTTCGACAAGTCACGATCACTATGTAGACTTATTCCTTAGAAAGCCTTTTCTAGGGAATTTCGCCCTAGATGAGCATTAAATCACCGAGCAACTCGAGACTGATTAACACCAGTTGGCTTTCACCATGCTGTGTTGATTAGTACAGACAAGAGCAGATGGACCGTTCACCTTTCAAGTGCACAGTAAGTTGAATAATCTGTTCCTACGAGAAGGTGAATGTATATCTGGTCGTGCTATCTTGACCAGTCGAAAGATAGAGCTTCTAAACCACGGGCCCTCAAATGCTATACCACATCCACCGTGTGCATTGATTTATCGCGCGGACCAAAGGTACAGTGCAGTTTCCCGTGATATTGCCTAAATGCACCAATTAGTAGCATACAAAAAGATCGGACGCAAAAAAGTGTTTAGGACAAAGCACTGTGAACTGTCTAGTATGTACGGCTTCGCAACTTCAGAAGTTGCCACCTAAACCGGAACATAATTTCGTGCATCATCCCTTTGGTAGACAAGCTTCTAGCAGGATAGCTAGATGTTCTTACAAACATGGTTCCAGAAAACGAGTTTCTTGGTACACACGTGACACCGGGGCTTCAAAAACAACTGATGCAAAGTGTGTTCGAAACCCACTCCCCTGCGCCCGCATTACACCAGTATTCAGTTAACGAAGCCATCGTAAAAAGACAGAAAACCTGCGAATGGACATTGTTTGCAGTCCAGTCGAGTGCGTCCTTTATTAATTAAATTGAAAGTGAAAGACTTACTTCGTAAGGTCACACCCATATGTGGTCATCAGCTGGCCTGCGTCCTGTGAAACCAGCCATATCGATCGGACGGGACAACTGACCAAACAAATGGCTGAACGCCCACCAACTATCTTCCAGAAAGGACAACGGCGCACCGTTGGCAGTTATGTTTTAGCGCATTTTCTGGCAGGCGACACCGCGCAAATGGTGCGTCAGGTTTGACGTCTAACCGCAAAATGTCGGTAAACTTGCTGTAGTCCACCAGAATGACTATTCCGGCCAGTGCGGAGGTCACTGGCTTGAGAGTTTGTCGACATGAACTTCACATTCAAAAGCGATTCGTGCAAGCGCTAAAGATCAATTGGCCAGCTAGCTTATTGACAGCACCACCTGAGACTAATATCCTGTTATTATTCAACACACCAGAAGTTGACCTTTGACTATATATCCTGACTGAGCTTATCTTACATCTTATCGAGTCTGAAAAGGAGGCATCAAAAAGTGCTCTTCACTCGATCCATGCTGCTCTAAATGCACCATTTAGGGCCATACACCACCAATTTAATCAACCGAAATATTGCAGGACGACATAAAGCGGCTTGCATGTTCAAGTGTTCAAACCGCACCACTCCATCATTTGCTCCAGCTGCTGTTTGAGTGAGCCGACGAGAACTAAGTGCAATAGGCACGTATCTATCGTATATCGTAAGTCGATGGCTGTGCACGTTTGAGCACAAGATCCTTCAAAGGCCAACTTTGAAGAAATGTTTTATTACTGCATTCAATGAATTAGACTAAGTTTGGCGGTGGCGCTGGTTAAAGTATCCTGATATCTGAGATAGCTCTTATTATTGCTTGGAGGGACGTAGAACGCAGTTTACACGCACGTTATCGCAGGTGGGTAGATTTTACTTTGTACGGTCCCTGTTAGGCCTCGTGCTAAACTCAAATAGAACCAGTCATCTGGGCTGCAAAACACGACAACCCAGCTGCTGGGTTAAAAATAGTTCGATACATATGACAGACATATTTTGTCGCGTTTTAAGCTCCACAGTTCAAAATAACAGGCTGTCTTGTGTTCAGTCAAGCTACCAGCTGGTTCTCCGAATCCTCATGAAAACGTACAACAGTACTTTTGAATAGCTTGTCGATTCATTACACCCATAAGCGATGCAGCCCTGTTGTTCAAAGGAGAAAAACGGGTGGAAACATCTGTTCCTCCTTCGTTTCAGCTTATTTTCCAGGACTATATTTATTCACTGCTGATTCATGTGTTTCAACCTCAGATTGTCGACCACTTCGACGCACGGAGTCAGCTCTAGAGGATTCACTACCAATCAGCAGCGAAGAACACAACAATCACCCCAAAAATGAGCGGAATTGCACACAGGAGTCTACGGGTAACACAGGAGAGCGCTTTCATTTTGGGTGTTGGAAACAGGAGCTACTGAGAGAATCCAGTGAACAGATCGAAACTCCACTGCGATCACGCAGTTATGCCGATATCCAAAAATCGGCAAAGTGGTCCCACCACAATAATACTAAGATCTTCCCGTCTGAAGAGTCGCCAAAAATTACAAGTTTCACAGGTGTTTCACCTTACTGGCTGGACGATCACGTTGAGAAACAGCGTTCGGCACTCGTTGAGTATTATTCATCCAGAGGTAAGCATACACGACGTTTTGGCTAGCCCGTGATCTAAAATCGCACCAAGCTGTCTTTGCTTTCTTGTTAAAAAAATACCGGTCTATCGCTCGAAAGTCACTGAGCTTGTCGTTAAATGAGACAACCAAACAAGCAATGACCTAGGCCAGACAGCTCCACAACGGGAAGAACATGGTCGCGGCACACCAGATATGATTTTATCTCTCAGCATCCACATGTCTGTGGATGCAGATACAGGGCGCACACGTTACTGTGAGTATCCCCGGATTGCTTCCAAAAATTCCTCAATGAAATGGCTGACACGAAGCATGTGATATAAGCTAGAGTTGAGATTTAAACGATGTTCAGAGTCAGTGAAATATACTCATTTATAGACTAATTTGGTTTTTCGAGATTCTCACCTGGAACCCAGCTGAATCGCTCGTTTGTGATGTTTCCAGGAAATTTGGTTTCAAGTAGAACATAAGGTTGATGGAAGCTCGGGGACTGCGCCTACCTGATGAGCCTCAAGGAGGGTGAAACCGGTCGTGGGCTGCCGACGGATTTTTAGCAACCCCATGGGCAGTGCGTTGCATTTATATAGATTTTCAGAGCCCTTCAGTATACAAACTGAAACCGAATATTTAACATAGTTGAGGCTATAAAACTAAACCAGTGTGATCGGAAACAACTGTTAGAGGAGACCTCACACTCTTGGTTAGAAAAGTAAATAGTCCACTTGGTTCCCCCATTTATACTTTCAAGCTATTTCGTCCTGAATTAGTCCAGATAGTTGAATCAAGGGTTTTACGTGGACGTCGAGATTGAACCTAGAATCAAATGTCACGTGGCCACCTCAGTGGCCTAGTTGAAGCCGACTGATTGAAAGCTTCTGAAACGTTAGAAGAGCAGATATCATACCCAGTGACACTCAGCTCTTCCCAATACGTTCGTTTCACTATTTTGAAACGGTTTCTTGCAAAAATTGATCGGAGAGTTGGTCAAATAGTGTTTTTTTCTTGAATGAAAAGAAGTGTAATTGTCTGTGGATTTAAGGACTCAAGTAGCCAAAACGACGGAAAACACCTTCGTATTCGCCTTCGTATTCGTTAATCTGAGTTGGAATGAGTCCCAAGCGGAACTGTTGCCGCTGTGATTATTGAAACTGAGTAATTACTCCGGGACTCAACCCCGTATGGCACTAACAGACTATAAAGCACCCCTGTTAGTGGGTAAGATGAATGTGATGTATTCACGTTTCATTAAACCTACTCGTATGTGTATTTCAAAACTGACGAAGCTTTTCCTCACTGTGCATTTATAAGTCTTTCTAAATCAGTCTCGAGGCGTTCGGAAGACCGCGGAGATTCACGGCCCTCTCCAAGAGAAGTGATCCGTCTCCTAGAAATCAATCATCCTTAAAAGTCAATAATGAGCAAGCGCTTCATTTATCAAAAAAAAGGTTCCCTAAAGAGCTCGCAACTCCGGAATCATCTAATAGCTGTACCCCCTTGAGAAAGTTTGTCCTCTGGAGGTGCCAACTTCGGGACCCACAGCCGAGGCACTTCTTCAAACAGTCAGTTTGGACAAGCAATAATCCCACTAAAACCTGGATTGTTCCTTCCCGATGAATGCGCATCAGATATTCAACCTGCCCTATGTTAATCAAACTGTTTTGAGAACACTTCCTCAAATGCTATGCAGTCGGGTCAAATCGTTCGATAATGTCCCACGAGGAACAGGAGAACAAAATAGGAAATGGTTGGGTGCTTAGCATTAACTGGGTATAAAAATCCGCTACCTACAGACTCCTCAGACCTCAGTCAGATTGATTGCCCGAACCGGAACTGAGGTTAAGTACGACAGTGATATTGACTGGCAGCTGTCTTGCAATTTTCCAAGCCGGTCTCACTGAGACCATTCTGGTAATAGAGTGGTAACCTTAGAGACCAGGCTTTCATAACTCTTCGTGCAATTCTGCCAAGTAGCATTTTGTTCATATTATCATTTGTGTCATTCCGGTTTGGCGCAATAAACGACGCCCTCCAAGGAATACGATAACTCGACAAGTGTAACACATGACCGAGCTACAGTAGCTCGGATACCCACTATGTACTACTTATCGTGTCATCATTTCTGCCCTATTCACTTGAATTTCGTGGAAAAGAATGGACCATTCCAACCGGAAAATAAGGTGAAGCTGCCATGCACAATTTTGCTTCTTTGATCGTGATTTTCGCAAGAAGAACTCTTCTTTGCATTTTGCCTCTGCAGAATTATTCGGTGCGTCTTAGAGCTTACTGACATGGACAGAGATTTGTCATGCGCAACCAGCGACACACCTGTGAGCCCTCAAAACAGGCGAATAGTAGTTCCGCTGTTTATCGTTTCCAAATGTTGGATGTTGAAATCTCAAGCTTCAAATAAATCTACTGAAAAAACTCTGATTTCTCTTGACAGACACATTTCCAAATGAGCTTGAGTTACCTAGTGCGAATGAAACTCGTGTACACACGGAAGACGTGAGTCATTTGTTTGATTGCACCACACATCTTGTCTTAATACGACATATTATTGCACGAAATATTCATATTTTGCTTCAAAGACAGACCACCAGACAGAGAGACATGAGGATGTAGTTATACTTACTTGAGAAGACTTGCATTGTTACAAGTGTCTTTTTAAGCCACGCAAAATTTTTTACTTCCTCTGTGGCTTATTCAAGTGCCATTGTCAAGGTGCTTTAGGCTTGGCTGAGAGTGAAGCCGGAAACAGCTCAGCTCCTAATCCAGTAGGTGAAAGTCACCGATTAGCCTATCATCCCTAGTGTTTGTGTGTGAATGTATATGACGTGACTCACGATCAGAATGAGGAAAGCTTCCCGAGGATATCAGACTGCTTGGTTTTATTGGATTGCTTCTCCAAATGGGAAATTGAATTCCGTTGTCAATCAATGATATCCCAAAACATGTTCTCAATGATGCGCAAAAAGTAAGGTCTGATGATCATTATCTTCCAAAAAGAGCTTCCAACCAGATCGAAAATAAACTTCATTGCAACTTATCGGGGTTCGGGAATTAATTCGAGCAGATTTCTCTCTCCTTTTAATGGCAGGTGTGACACTGAAACCCCGTTCCTTGCTATCCGGCATAGAACGACAGACTTTGGGAATATTTATTGCCATGTACCAACACTGAACGCATACTACCAAACCATTGACTTAGGAGGTCTATCAGCCACGGTTAAGACATTCGGTGTCTAAATGGTCCTACTTCGTAAGGGAGAAAAATCACGGTGCATCTCACGCACCTGTGTTTATACCTACCAGTGTAACGGTGATATTACTGATGGGGAGGCACGCGAGTAGTATGTGTTGTTCGTGGAATTTCGCTTTGCGTCTTTTGAAAAGGGGAGATCTGTTGCAGAATTCGTGGAGCTACTTTGTTGCATTTGCTTGGATTTGACTGACGAATGAGTGGAGTCAATGAATCTCCAGGAAAGTTCGAGAAGACGCGTTCGGGAGAAGATGGGTGTCCATTTTTTGTTAATAAGATGCAAATTGGAGTTTTGCTGCCCTGTTCAATGGTCTGTAACCGGTTGACATTTCCTATTAAATAACTCCGTAGCAAAGGCCTTCTTCTTTTCACCAGAACAGAAGTGTACTCAGAAGTGTAACTCTTCGGAGAGTATGGAAATAACAGGAGTGTTAGAATATCCGATATGACGCTTACATTTTTTTTTATCAAGGAACAGCTTAGGGTATTGTTTGTCTATACCAGAAGCTCTTAGTCATTCAAATTTTAGATCGTTATGCCAATCCCCTTCACAGTCCTACACAAACCATAAAGAAAGGGCAGAAAAAGCTTCGAAGGATGCTAAATCAAGTGAGTTTATTTTGCAACTTCTATCTATGTCGCATAATCGCACCCCCTAGGACTTTAAATAGCAAGTGTATCCTAATTTCTGGCCGACACGAATAATGATGAAAACACCAAGTGGATAAGAAAAACTACAAGTCACTCGCTGAAAATGTGCGCCCGAGCATAATGTTGGCAGACGGATTATTCGCGTTACATATGGCTGCGTTGAAAGTGTATCTAAATGCACAAGTGGTCCAGTTTATTCACTCGAACTTGCTTAACATCTACTAAAATGGGACACATGTATGGTAACGTTGTGAAGATCTCAAGGTTCTCAGGTTTACTGTGTTCGTGAAAAGTAATTCCTTATGGGTGAGCAAGTGAGTAGACAAACACGAACGCCCTCAGGTAACGGGGAATTCATTTAAGGCCAAGAATATCTAAAGACAATATGCAGTTCAATGGTACACGCAAGATTTAAAAGAAAAAAGGGAATATGTGAGTAGTGGAACATACATTTTCTAAGAAAAAATCGGTCGATTCCACCGAGCAGTACAGTGGAAATACGGAAATTCACATCCAACACTTGGATTTTCGTTTATTATTTCACTCAGTCTCTGTTGCGTGGGCCTGGAGCCGGTGACTCATCTCTGATTGCAAATTCAGGTGGCTGAATCGCCGCTCAGATGGGCGTGAACGTTGACACCGAACTCAAAGTAGCCAAGGTAACCGAAGTAAAGTTCACAAACAATCCAGTTCCCAGCTGGAAAATAGTTCAGCTCCAGACTTTATTAATGATGGGTTGAACTTACCTCATATACTCTTCAGCCTTACCTTGCTAGGAATGAAACGTAACTGAGCCATAAATAACAGACTAGTAACCAGCTCAGCTGTCATTACGATTCCCTTATCACTTTGTACTGGATTTTAAAATATACCTGTCGTACAAGACCATCAGGAACACAAGTGGAACTTGAAAAACCGCAAGCCTGTTTAATTGCTGTTCAAGTGCCAAGGCAAATAGCATAATCGATGAATCCAGTTTGCAGTCAGAGGAGGTAGAACTGTCCAATAGTACACGCGAAGGGCAGACGGTCTTTTATTTTTATTGCATCTGTATCCTATTGCACCTCAAAGACGGATTGCTTAGATGGGCGTCGGCTGAGAGTGTTGTATAGTGAAATAGGTAAGACCTACCGGGGGTCCTTTGATATGTTTCCTCAACCAGCCGTCATTGTCGTTTCGAGCCCAAAAGGTATGTTTGGATCCCGGAAAGTTTGGTTACCTGGGACCTCACCCTGATTTGTCACTCAGATTGGAACTAGTGTAATGTGCAGTTTAATGTTAGCAATAACTGTGAACAACCTTTTTTCCTAATTTAGTCAGGGGCTTGTTTTTTGTTGTCATTACAAAAATGGTGCCATCTTGTCGCAAATTAAGTCGCCAAATCCCCGTAGGAGGTGCGTGAGTTTTTATTTCCGGAGTTTGTAGTGGTGTAACCGGCATCTTAAGCCCTCTGTCAGTTTTGCCGATATGATGGCCACTGCAGCTGCAGGTAGAATGTTAAATACAATGTCCACTGGATAGAAGTAGTTTCAGCGTTTGAGTCAACAGCAATGAAGTCACCATTGTCAGTGACTTCAAGATTGACTTGTGCCACATCATATATTCATCACAGTGCTGTATATAATGGCTTTTTCCAAGGCAGTGGTGTACAATCGACTACTTACGACAATATGAGAAAAACCGGTTTCTATGCCACCGGATTGTTACTTGCTTCCAACTTTAGGTGTATTTTTCTTAACACAACCATCCGGATGATTATTCAATCTAATTCCCACTTGTACTGTATCTGGAGTGTAGTCTGTCTCTGTGAAATCAAGTGGGTACCAGTAAACGTTTGTATTGCTTCGGAGAGAAGATTAAAGTTCTGTCCAGACAGTTTTACGGTACATGAATATCAACAGTGAATCATTTATATTCCCACGGTGAAAAGGTCCAGCAACAGAATTTGACTGTCTGGCTACAAACTGTAGACAAAAATCAGGCTTTTGATGGAGCTTTTTTTTTAAATATATGGTAAGTTTCCAACCTGTCTGCAATACCTTGGAATGAATAAGTTATCACTGGGCCATCTTTCTTCAAGGGGAGCGGAATGAATCTTAGTATGTGCTCCATACTGGTCACAAAGATGTCTGTAAAGGTTGGTCCAAGAGCGATGTGAATAGCTAAATCATCAGACTGCTTACAAATTCTACCCTGAAAAACCTAATATTTTCAGTACATGAAAGAATAATGCCCACCAGAATTTGCGCGAGAACACCAACAACCGTGTGCCAAAGCTTATATGACGATCTACCCATTACTCCTCTGTACTTCAGCATTGTTAAGGTGACTTAGCTAATGTTATCACTCATACAGGATTTACCTATTGATACTTTCAACGGCAAAATTTGGAGTTATCGCCAAATATCCTTCTAATTCTTCTAAAGATAGGTTAGCAGGTCAAGCAATTCTGAGGTGGGACTTCCGTATTTGACTTCACTGTCAGTGTCTGAGAAAGTTCACATTTCATTACTCTGGGATTTACTACAATAGAATGTTGCTGTTTCCGTAAGGACAAATACCTGCTTACTAATTGCGTCAACAACATATTCTTTACCTGTGAATATCTATACAGATGACAGTATTCCTAACGACCGAAAAACCGGCGATAGTGGTACATACAGTGGATCATCTGTCACAGCTTTCATTCGTGAATCGGCCCCAAAACCTCTCGAACTTCCCATTGGAAAAAGAGATTCGCAAGAAAAACTGCTAAAAGAAAACGATATCAGCCCCAGTGGATACGCAAAAATTGATCAGCCATTCTTGATTGCACTGAAGGTAAGCTCTGATTGCCTTACGCGAACTGCATATTTTTAAATTTCAGTGATTTGCGGGGCTATGCTAAAGTGGGTTAGCTTTCATTACGATAGCTCCTTGCACTTTGCGAAAGAACAACCGATCTTTAGCTTATCAGCCCATCAAATTTAGTGAGTAGGATTTCCATTTAAAAAAGCCGAAAACTTAAGAAGTGCAGATGTTTTTTCAAAACAAATATGCAGTTTAATTGGCAGAGACAGATTTCCAACAGACGGGCTGTGCGTCTTCTGTTTGCATGCGGTTAGGCTTATTATTTGCTAAACACCATCCATCCTGTTTATCGGATTCCTACACAAATAGACTGGACGACACCGTGGCGATGACAGCTTGTGTGCCTCCGTGACCCATTGAGCTATACTCGGGGATGTTTTTGTGACATTTTCAGTCTTTCATACCAGGTTGGATGACAGCTTGCCTCCGTGACCCATTGAGCTATACTCGGGGATGTTTTTGTGACATTTTCAGTCTTTCATACCAGGTTGGCAAATGTTTACCGGTCTAATCGACATTCTACTAATCCTCCGAGTTGAGGATTGGAACATATCTGGTACTGGCATTTCCCGCCAAACACCTCTGCCTTGCAGTCAGGCCTTAAGCCAAAGGCTTTAGTTCAGGACCCTAATCATCCTCCTGTTGAGGTCTGAGTACCCTAGTGGTATCCAAGCTCACATACAACCTTGATACCTATAACTAACAATGATCTCATGCCACGCAAGCCACCTTGTGGTCCAGTCAGTCACATCGCCTTGCTTGCTGCATACAGCGGGACAGGCAAGCGAAAACAGGCTACTGTTGGCGCCTCGCTTCCTGTTCTTTCCCATGCTTTTCCTTTCTCCCTCTCCGCACCTCATTAAAAACTCTCTCCTAGTAGACCAACCCGTTAAGACTGACGACTTCGTTCATCTTACGTCTATCTTGGTCGAAACGTTTGCGCGTCAGCCCTGCCGGCACCACACAGCTAAAAATCAACATTCAAGCAGTTCGCCTTGCTGCATACAGCGGGACAGGCAAGCGAAAACAGGCTACTGTTGGCGCCTCGCTTCCTGTTCTTTCCCATGCTTTTCCTTTCTCCCTCTCCGCACCTCATTAAAAACTCTCTCCTAGTAGACCAACCCGTTAAGACTGACGACTTCGTTCATCTTACGTCTATCTTGGTCGAAACGTTTGCGCGTCAGCCCTGCCGGCACCACACAGCTAAAAATCAACATTCAAGCAGTGGTCGAGCTAACTGCCCATCACTCTCTACTCACCTTCGGCTGCTCACCTCTGGTGATCTTGAGGCTGTTGTGATAGATTGTTAAGGGGTTGATATCGTCTTGATATCGTCATCTAAGCAGATGATAGATTCGAAGAATGTATCAGAACCACTTTCTGAGATCTATTTTATCTGCTTAACCGTCCAATATTATTTTATACTGAGTTGGGGTCGTCATAGTGCCGGAAGTTTTGCCCGTGACCCGATCCTAACAGATCCGTTGAATCATTTGATATCAGACAGAACAAGGGATTGCTTGAATCTCGAATAAATGTCCCCGAACATAACTTATCGTGATGAGTTACCATACGTTAGGTGAAACTTAGCATTCACGCTTACCTTGCAATTTGGAATACACGAAAATGGAACAGCACCAGAAAGCCTGGAATGCCCGAAGACTGTTCCAGCTTATCCGTTCAGCAAGGTTCTGGATAGTGCTGGTGAGCGAAACCATCAGGGATCAAACTACGGCCACCATCTTCAGGAAAGGAAAATAGTTCGAAAGCTGGGCTTAGCAGTTTGAATAGTTATTCTCGTGACCATCTGCTGCTATGCAGTCGGATTATCAAAATGTACTAGAGGTATGGAGGTAAACGCGGAGCCCCCTACGGCCTACTGCATACATTGAATCACGTGCCACTGAGCTCCTTCTCTGGATAACCACCAAGCCGCAGTGTCCAGAGATGGGAATGAAGTGTCCACTCAGCGGTTGTCTGATCTGTTTGCGTGTATTTTTGAAAAGAAGACGTTCCCAGACAACTGGAGTGAACCGATGATTGTGCCCATGTCCTAAAATGACGTTCAAAGGGAGTGTGGTGAACACAGGGGCATCAGTCTGACCTCGGTCCTAACGAGATTATTGGCGCCACTTGTGCTGGCTCAAGAAACACTGACTCAAGAGCAGCAAGCGAGATTTTGGCCTGACAGGGGCTGCGCTGACTAAATCTCCACAGTCCGTCAAGTAATAGAACAACGCCATACGTAAAAGTGATCCACAACTTTAGTGGTCATCGGTTTCTTAGGCCTACTCGACTCACTTGACCGGTTACATTTCCTTAACACGCTTGCTCAGCAAGAAATATTCCGAAAATGTTTCACCATAACTTCTTTTTTCTCAGACTTTCGCGCGTGTCGGAGTATACAGACAGCTCTACAAAAATCTCTGTACCAAAAGTGGTGCTGACCAACTGTGTTCGCTCTCTCCATTCCTAGTTAATTTCGTAATGGACAGCATAATGGAGTGAACGTTTAAGGGTCGTCAAAACACTCGCGTTCCAATAGCTGCTGACGAAAATCCTGTCGGTCTGGAATATGCAGACGATATCGTTCTCGCCTTCGAAGAGGAAAAGGATAAACCGACCAAAGTCATCTCGTTCTTTGGCACACGCTTTGCATCCATAAAGTGTAAGGTCATGGTTACTTATCACGCTACTTATAATCCAAGGAGTTGAACTCGAAGTTGTGGGGCACTGACGTATCTTGGAAGCTGTCTTAGTTCTGCATGTAGTGTGACAGATGAGACCACTGCGGGAATTTGCAAGACACAGTCCGCTTTACTAATCTGAGGTACCTATGTCGTCAAAACGACATATCCCTGAGTCGCAAGGGACGTGTGCATCAGGTCACGATGCGGGCTGTTTTGTTTTGTGGCTGAGATTTGGCCTTTTCGAGCAGCGGAACTGAGACGTGTCCCGGTGTTCGATGACCTATGTCTCAGAACCAGTGCTGCTGTGTGCTGGGGTCGGCAAATACGTAACGGAGCAATTATAAAGCGAGTTTCCGGCTGTGAAACAGGGACTTTCATTGAAGAATGTGTCCAGCACCAGTAGCTGCGTTGGTCAGCCCATAGAGAAACGATACAGACGCACCGCTTGCCGAAAACAGTTCTGTTTTTTGTGCTTACTCCAGTGTGGTGCAATTAAAAAAAACGTAGCCAAGCCTTGAGCTGGAAGAGGGCTGTGAAGGAGAGTAAGAAAAGTTTGGATACTGTCGTTGTGACTTGTCTTCCAGGATGGGGTCAACGTAGTCCCCAATGTGCACGGCCAGAGACGCTGCAGGATATGACTGCCAAGTAATGCCAGTGGCATTCTTGCTGAGAGTTTCGCTTTAGATTACCTGAATGAGTGATTGGATGCGTAGACACTTCGTAATGGTTGTGGTAGTCTAGATCTAAGTACCTCCAACACCATACTAGACCTTCTGATGGCTCTCATAAGGCTATTATGAATTTTCAGGATGAACTTGTTCCTTAGGGTTTACAGCGGATTCACATATTCGCCCCCCAGTAGCATATCAGGTCGCACGCAAACAGTTCGCCCAGTCACAGTTGTGCGCAGCTCTTCTGTGTTTCAACCGCCGCTGATAGACGAATTCGTGTCGGAAACCAGCTGACCATATTAACGCGTTATTGCGTATGAGATGAGAAAACCATTGAGAGCGATGCTTCTTACCTGAAGCCTGCAGATATCTCTTTGCCATTACACCGATTTAGGTTATTCTTCATTAAAAGTAAAGTAGTGGTTATGTGTTCTTTTGCAAAATATCTACAGGGCTGCTTTGCCGCGGCAGCCGAGGTGATTTCTGTGAGTACGGTTAACCAGTTACTCAAAAGCTATGTGCCTAAGACTTTAGCAGCACGTTTCGGATTTTTCCGCTGAATTTTCGAACGTCGCATGAATTCATGTAGAAAACATTTCGGAAATTGTAAAAATGATAGATGGGTTGATGCATTTTGTTCCTTTGGAGGATACCGGGTTCCTTCTCAACCAGTAAACTGGTAAAAAGGCTACAAAATTCTGATTTTGCACCTGGAGTCGATATTTGCAGTCTCTATCCTCTAATACACACTGTCTGTCTGAGGCAGTTGACTACTGTAAGCTATTTGTCGTTAAACAGATATCAGCAGCATTTTTTTTAGAAGTTCCGTGGTTAGGATGACCATACGGCATTGTCAGTCTTCTGGTTTCAATATGACATTATTCCTTCAACCCATTTTTACCTTCATTTTCTAGAGCTTGATAAGAGATGCGGTTTCAGAAAGTTTCGCTCAGTATGCCAATAGATGCAGTGTTCTTGCACCGGATCGCAGAGCGCTTGAGCAAACATATCACTTGGAGACCTGCGTCACCTCCTCGAGATCGGAAAAAGCAGCACTGAAATTGGTTGAACAGTCTTCAGTGTTACCGGAAAAGCCCTCGGCATGGAGTAGCCTCATCCCGAAGCACAGCATAACAGAGCCATCAAAAACAGCCTGTCGTCTGACTTCGATGAGATCAGATAATGACAATGTTTCCTCTGCACACAGTGAGATGTTACCTGAATTATGTGTGTCCCCATTTTATTACAAAACTTCCTGTTGGTGATTGGTTCACTCAAGATTGATCTAGACAGAGATACAAAGAGCAGTTGAACATTGCCTGCCAGTATTATGTCACGCAAGCGAACATACCTGAAAACGAATAAAATTCTTGCGTTTTGGCACTGATCATCACACAACACGTTCCATNGAGCGGGTGAACATTGCCTGCCAGTATTATGTTACGCAAGCCGAACATACCGAAAACGAATAAAATTCTTGCGTTTTGGCACTGATCATCACACAACACGTTCCATCTGGTTTGCCCGGAATAGTAGTGAACAGTACTTAACCCCGAAATTCTTTCCCAAAAAGGGATAGTGATCACAGATGTGTTCTAGCGTGAGACAGACCATACTAATAAATGAGCGACTCTGCTTATTTTTGCCCTTCAGGCTTGAAAAATCTTAGGACGCTCCGGTAGTGGTAACAAATGAGCAGGCATAGAAATTACCAACGATGAGTATTTTAATACAGAGGATGTTGTAACTGGCTTTGTGAGACTCATGGTTGGACTTTTTGCTGGGCTGGACAGTTTTGTTGCAGTCCTCACGCAGCTGATGGCTGTGTGCTGGCCCGTGATTTTGCAAGAATTAAGCATTTCTACACTTGAGTAGAGAATCGCCAAACCAAGCAGAACAATCAAAAGAAATCCCGAACCAGGCAAATCGGTCAGCTGGTGGGATCATCCTTTAGACCAAGGTACAGGAAGTCACCAGAGAGGCATCGAAATCAGGCTCAAAGATCACCTCATTGATTACCACTCAGGACAGCAGTCGATGAATAGGTGAAATGAAGTCATAGTCCAAAATCGCTTCCTGTTGGTACTGTGGTAAAAAAACATTAAAATGTATCACTCTAAGTTACGTCATCACATTTAAGAAAAGGTGAAAACAGTCATCACTACGTACTTTCGGTATAGTGATTATAGCTGCTGCAGTTAAGTTAAGCAAATATTTGGGGACTAGGAGGTGGATAGAGGAGGTTGATTTAATTGCTGCATCAACACAAGAGCTCCAGTGAATTTTTCGCATGGAAGATTTTGAGGGGAGCTATGCATTGAAGGCAACAGCCCGGAAGTTTGAGTACCAATGGGGACGCAACCGGGCCACGGCTGACAATGTCTCTGACCATCAATGTATCCCGTCTCGGCGTCCCCATATACAGCGAAGGCGATAACCAGCGCAGCTGAGTTTGTTGTTAATGGCTTTCCTACTCCGCTGACAAGTCATTGCTTGAACTTCTTTAGCTCGTTCCCACCATGCGTTTGGCTTTCCGGAAACTGCTGTCCAAAGATCCCCGTCGGCTGACGTACTGATCAGTGACCAAGCGGGCTTAACCTATGTAGTGTAGTCATTTCATTCACCAGGGTGGAGTTATTTCTTTTGAAAACACTTTCGTGTGCTTTAGAACGACTGACCAGATGTTTCCATCAGACCCGGGTAATGCTTTGAAGAAATTTATGGTCAAACGTTGGTTTTTTTTATGTCCCGAGTGCACAGCGACCAGGATTCTGACCTATATAACAATAATGAGCACACAACAGCATTGCAAACTCACCCTTGACAGTTAAGCTTATGACACTTCTGCGCCACGGGTGATGTAGGTTCATAAATTTGCCCTGTCCTTCCTATTTTGCATGGCTGGACTACTGTGACTGATACGGTGTCCAGTCAGTATACAAAGAAAAGATCAGAAAGTACCTTCGATGATCCAGAAACCAGGCTGATGCCACGGTTCGTGTACCAATTTCGAAAGCAGGACCTACTCTCAGTGTGTGCCCCATTCTGTAGGCATTTCATCTCCACTCCATATGACAACAATGGGTTTCTTTTCAGATGCGTAACCAAAGATTTTCCGCCTTCTTTGAAGAGAGCTGGGTATAAACTGTCCGGTCCTGGTGCCCCCAAGTTTTAAAATAGACGGCTGATGTTTCACTTATTCATTTAACGGGTATTTGATGTTTGCATTCTATTCGCCCGTTTGCACTACCTACAGGAGCTGTGTTGCAGGCGACCAGCTAAACTGTCCTTCAAAGACTTCGACCGTTTTTTTCGGGTCAGCGTTTTTCCAAGTGAATTATTGGGTCGTATTTTTCACTACTCGTTTCGCCGACTATGGATCATATTGAACTCCATAGAAATAGTTGTTTCCAGTGGCAACAGCTGAGGTCGTCCTTAACGTTTTAAGACGAATCATGTCTGTTTGTGTTAGGGCCACATCAAGGCACATCGGTCAGGAACTGATAGTCAAATTACCCAGAGATATTTGCTTACACGGTTGGAAGTGTTTGGGGATGGGAAACGGTGGACAAATTATACTTCCCGGTTGCCCAGACTGAAGAAGGAAGTTTAGTTGATGCACCCCACCTTGCGTTTTTGACTCTGACAAACGAGGCACTCGGGCAATGTAAAATTCTGCTAGGGGTGATTGAGCCCAGCTTCCATATTAAACAAGGAAGACTTACAACAGAAGTGTTTATGTCCGTTGGGTTTTCTTATCGTATCCCGCAAAAAAGCAGAGTCCGTATAGTTCTCGGAACAGTTTTCTTCAAAGCCAGTGGCCTTGTAATTCCAATGCACGAGCAAATTTCAGCTTCTGGTACACCAGAGCAGATGGAAGTAGGCGCACCATTCATTCCGATGAAGTGGTAATCCGCCCACACGATGGGACTACTGAGGTGGATTACTGGGCTTCTGTACTGTCGAATTCAACGAGAGCCAAAACTGATTGTATGGGTCGACATCCAGGAAACACGGGTTCAATTCTCTAGGGTGGTTGGAGAGAAGTTCACTGTTGTTGATTTCCAACAAATCCAAGGTAGCTATACTGTACCTGTCTGCTTTTCATCACAGAGTAACCATTTGAAGAATGAAGTCGGAATCAAACTTTTGGAATTTCCTCACAATGATAAAACGTTTTTGTTGCAAAATGTGTCTTGATAGCGAAGAACTCTTTTACACGGAAAAATTCGTCACTGAAACTCCGCGAATGGGTGTGGAAACGTCAGCCACGTCAGTGAACATTAAAGGTGTCATTCTATTGGTGACGGAGCGCTCACAGAATCATTCCAAAGCTCAACAAACAACCAGACTAAGTGAAGAGTTCTTCACTAGTAGCACAAACGTCAACGTCTCTTTATTGACATAATACACTACTCAAAGTCTCTTCGTTTGTTCCGATTTCTCCACTTATGGATTTTCTCCAATCCCATGTGCAAACGATTTTGAATAACTTAAATTACTCTGCTGCACGGTTTGGCATGCACTTCACACCTGCAAAATGTGAAGAGCCGCTACAAGACTGGGTGGGATCAAACCCACACCTCATGCTCGCAGGTGAGCCAATCAACGTGGTAGATAAATTTGTTTACCTGGGCAGCTGTATAAGTTCCGGAGTTTTCACTGCGATTGTGCGATCCATACTGCTTTATGAATCAGAGAACGCATGAAATCTATCGCCTTCAATGCGTAGCTACCTAATTTCCCAACAAACTGAATGCGTTCGCCCCCAAGTAGTGGTTGTAGGTTGCACTTGCCCGTTTTCCGGTGATTGAAACTGTAGCAGCTGGAACTAGTGTGCCTACAACACACGGTTGATAGCTGATAAATTGAACTGAGTTGAATTGAATTTTCTCATCTAAGCTTAAACCACATCAAATTCCCCACCCTCTGACCAAGTGTTTAATTTTGAATGCCTTACTTCCGGCTGGGTCAATGAACAATAACACACGTCAAATTTTTTCACATACTGGGTGGTTCAGCCAACTGAAGAACGAATGGAAGCAGTCACCAAGTTATCGCCTCTGGAAAGCTGACCAATTCCAGCCACTTGTCTCCAGACTTTTCCAGAATGATAAACACAGTTCCTACTGGTTATAAGCTGACAGCTTACCTGATGAAAAGTAGGCAGATACTGATGAGTTACTCAACTGAATTAGGCCATTAGTTATGCAACCGCTTCACGTTTTCCCACCTAACAACAGATGTTTGCTTTGGCAACGGACGCAGTGGTATTACTCATTACTGCGAAAGCAAACTACACATCATTCTGACCACTAACTTGTGTCTGCCAGTGTGCTCTTGCGCTGGACCTGGTCTGCCTGTTAATCAGTTTAATTTGATACTCGTTTGTTTCAACAGCTCCAAAGAACCTAGACAAATCAGGAGGACAATCTGGGTTGCAGTACTACCGTGAAGTAAGTCCAACTGAAGCTTTATCCCCAATTTTCTGTTACACCATAAGCTTTGTACTAAAGGTATGGTACACTTAGTTCGACATAAACAGAGGCCTCCGTATCTTCACCGCTTACCAAAGAAGAAATATGGGCTGCATCACCACTGGTATAGACACAAACTTTGGTGACGCCTTCGTAAGAGATTTGAAATTATTTGCTGAGATCCACCTTCGAATTGGTTTAGCTACCAATCGTTCATTTCCAAAAACATAATGGGCCAAAATCGACCGTCCAAATTTGAGTTACTGTGCATTTGTTGAAAGTGTGCGCAAATTCGTTATTACTTCTTTCAGGAAATCCGATGAACCCAGTTGTCTGTGAGCGAATTTTACATGTTCATTCCATCAGAATGGCCATCAGTTCAATGAAGCAACAGCCAAAAGAGAGCACCAAAATAGAAACGCAACTATGGGAGAAAGTCGGAGTGTGTATACTAAAGTTCTGTATATGTATAATGGACTTAAAAATTGGTCATGTTGCTTTCCCTTCAGTTTGGAAGCACATTGGCAGCTGCGAAAATGGACATACTGACTATTCAAAGCAACATATCTCACTGAAAAGAACAAATCGTGTATTGCAACGAACGAACCCTGTTGAACATCTTACGAGGATGGAAGACTGTCGACTGGGTGTTTGGACTTTGATCATTTTCAACATTCTGCTACTAAACTTGTGCAGGTGTATCACTTTATGTTTGACACATAATGTCAGAGAAAAACTCGCCATTAATGTCAGTAAATTTCATTGCTGTCTTTTCCTCCATCTATCTTCTTTCTATCCACATCGTTTTTCACTAGCCCTCGCGGAATCGACCCGGCATTGACCTGCAAAGACCCAGAGCATCATCGTGGCTCCATCCAAAACCAACTGACTTTGTTGGTTCGTCTTTTCTAAGTTCTTCGGAAAGTCGTTCATCCAACCGTCAAATTCATATAGAAACCTACGTGAAAGATGTGCGTCAAAGTGATCAGTCTTCACTTAACCAGCAGCATGGCACTCTTAAGCCAGATGCCTACTGTTTGACAGGTTCATCTGTTCTGGAATAGTTGGTTGGGTACGTTTCAGTGTCAGCCAATAAAATTGCCGTCCACTACCCAGTGTTTTCTTTGTGAACCATCAGCTCACACTACACATTCCCCTTCATCTTCTCTATCCTCTTTCAACATGTGAAGTATTCAGATTCTTACGCCCAACCTGCCCCTCAACCTTACATAGGCAGGAAAAAAGCAACTTAAGTCGGCTTATATCGAATACTGTCAGCACTTTTGCTTTCCAAACACTGATGAAGTAACTGAATGATGTTACCAGATCCTCAGATGAGCAGCACAGTGTTAAATAAATCATCGATTTGCATGATGAGTCGGTCTGTAGTGAAACAATGTAGAAATTCCACAGAAGTTTCCAAGAGCTTCGCTTAATGAATTGAAAATTCGCTGACGTATAAAAACATTCTTGACAAACAATAACGGCAACCTCGTGAATAGTACGAATTCACATTGGTCATGAAGAGGACCTGCTCCATCGCAGAGTACGTTTCTGTATCCCAGTGAACCTTCGCGAACTACCAGACCATGCCGGATCGCATGGAGTTCATAATAGAGATCTTAAAACTCAGCCCGAAAATGACCCTTCTCAGCTAACTGTGTTGCCGGCTATGCTAACAGGTACATTGAACGATCAAAACTGGAGAGTGTTGATCGAGGTAGCTTCAGCAGGTATTCTTAGCTACTCAGAAAAGTATGAGTAACTAAACAAAGCCGTCATGTACATTAAACCTGATGCGCGTAGAATCACCCCAACACTGGTACAATTGCTCTGATAGGGTAAATATCAGTTAGAACAGGTGAGTTGACTGCTGGGAAGTATTCGCGCATAAGAGTGGCGGATGAGGAAGTAGTGGGCAAGGAATCTGGTGAGTGAATCCATGAAGACAAATAATGATCTTACAGCGGTATGGCACACTCACTCAAAGCTCACACTTTAGACTTGTAAACAGGCTTAGTTGAGGAAGAGTTGCGCTTAGCTAGATTGCCGCCGACGTAAGGCAATTGTTCCAATGTTTGTTGGAGAACGCATTTTGTTTTAGTTCATTGCTAAGCGTCAACGTGGAGCACAAACGAAGCAACATTACTTTGAGATGGCATGCAGTCCTCGGATGATCACGATGAGAACCGGCTGTCCACGGCTTTCTGCTATTAGAGAAACCAGATGATTGTCCTCAGTTTCAATGCGTTTGTCGTTGGTTTCTATCCCTTGAGAGCCCGTATCCTTCAACAAATGTACGAGTAATAAAGGAGCCACGAAAAAGTGCCAAACTTCTAGCTAGACTTTTAGTGTAACATACATCAGTGAGAACCAAGCTGGTGCTAACAGTCATCACTCATAAATTAACTGTTACAAGATACTTGATAAAGGCTTCTTTTGATTTGTGCTATCAGTAGGCTCACTCATTAGTATCACAATACAGCCGATACCCACAAAGCCAGAAATAAACAGACAGGTCAACAGTTTCAAATCAGAATACCATAAGTTCGTAGGAGAAATCATTCAGAACTGACATCCTCTTTTTCTGCACAACATCCACGTATGTCAAGCCTTGACAGACTCCAGAAAGAACACAAAGACTTAGTTTGAACACATGTCGATTAGGATGACGTTCTGTGGTTAGTTGAGCATCTAAGCAGAGCCAAGAGATAAGGGCATTAGCAGGTTAAACCAGGAGGTTCCTCACACCCAGATAAAAGCGAACTGCGGTCATTCGCCACCCTTGTTTTCGAAGTAATGATACATACCAAGTACCAGTTTAGCAGAAATAACTGCACCACTAACTGGAGTCGAGGCTAACATTGATTTAGAACCGCTGTGTTTTATTTTAGTAAAATGCACGTAATGAATATCGAAGTTAATTATCATTTTTATACACAATGTAAGCAGATAGGTAATCGCTGAGTTTAATTAACCTACAAGCACTAGAATTTTATGAAAGTTTTATCCTCCGTTGGGATTTTGTAGTCATTTTGTGCATCCTGATGCCAAATATAAGTAGTCGCACACTCCACAAAAGCAGACTGAAAAAGGTTTTTGAATAATTTCCTTTAGGTCCTTATTTTACCCACTTTCGAACAATCAATTCTTTAGGTATGAATATTGTTCGATTCCCCTTGGCTTTTCTTTCAGGTTTTTTCCAACGTTCCGGCAGATCAAACAACAGAATCAAAATGACTATCCATTCAAGACTGTACTTGTTACGGGTGTGCGTTTTTGTTCATTTTATACACCTTCCTTCTTGTTTTGATCTAATAGGAAATCTTAAGAATGATGGGATGCAATTTTGGGAAGGCGTTCCCCCACAATGCAATCTCTATGCTATATACACAATTCTGGATGTTGTAATTTACCTCCGGTTGATTTTCTAATGTATTTCGAAATATAGCTCTTATCTTTCAAACACAACTTAACCTCGGGTATACTGATGTGCAACTATGGGTTGTCTGCAATAGCTATTTTCTTGGCCTACTCTAATTTCCTGCTATTTGTGCAGTTCAGGGGTGTGGTCGGCATTTGGTAGTGTATGCAATCTTGAGAATGGCGGCGATATCTTCCTTGGTAAGTCAAAACGGGCAAATCATTTGAAGTTAAAGGTGCCGCTTAATTCCGAAAGCCTCAGCCACACGATCAGACTACTCTCCAGTAGTTAGCCACTGAACGACCGACTGGTGTTGTGCCCACAACCTAACGGTTTTGAGAGGAATTTATGTTGCTCAACGTCTCGATCACATCAAAAACCTTTATCGGTAACGAAACGGTCAAAATCGGGTGGACAAGAAAACAATCGATATTCTTTACGTTACTCTGATCAGTCCGATTCATGTCTATACGCAGAGGTCGAGGAGGCTTCATGTGAATAATCAGGGTATTTTGGTGTCGCACATTCCTGTCCAGATGGCGCATAATTGTTGGCCTTCATTTTGGCCTACAAATGCTCGTTGGGAATGAATGGCTAACTCTGCCACCCAGTGACTTTCCGTATGTGGGATAGGTTGCTAAAGAATATTTTGGCTTCAGTAAGGAGTACCATGTGCCCCCTCTGTCTGGTCATGACGTGCGACTGTCGGGTGGTACTCTGGGGTGGGCAGCATGTGTATTTTGTTGCAGCGGTTCCTACGTGTGGTGGTCTGCTAGTTTTACCCTTTCCCTGAATTCAAAATCCATTC